GCACACCTCCGCCATATCATGTCAGCTAGCGCTTGGACCATTCTCCATCTCTTGCGGCTATTAATTTCTCGCTCCTCAAATCGGCCAGGTGGACTGTTTGGCGAGGCTCGTCCAATGAGAAAATTGTTTGGCGTCAGCGCTTCGAAATCGTTCGGGTCATCACTGACGGGAGTGAGGGGTCGACTATTAACAATAGCCTCTGTCTCGACAAGGACTGTATGGAGTGTTTTCTCTGGTAATACCTGGTCATTTATGACAGTCTTCATAGCTCTTTTGACCTGCTTGACCATTGACTCGAATATTCCTCCCATGTGTGGGGACGTCGGCGGGTTAAAGTACCAAGTGATCCCTTCTCGGGCCAGCTCGCCGGTGATTCGTCCCTGACTCAATGACTTCAAAGCTTCACCTAACTCTCTGTTCGCTCCCACGAAATTAGTTCCGTTGTCTGAACGGATTGTCTTAGGGTTGCCTCTTCTCCCGCGAAACCTTCTCAACGTCATGATGAACGAATCAGTACTCAGATCGCCTGCCAACTCCAGATGGACCGCACGGGTAGTAAGGCATGTGAAGATACACTCCCACCTCTTCTCAGTTACTCTTCCCCTCTTGACACTAACTGGACCAAAATAATGTACATCCGTGTTTGTAAATGGAGGCTCGCTAAGGGCGAGTCGTTCTCTGGGTAAAGAGGCCATCACAGCAACGGTTGGCTTAGCTCTCCTTCTCTTGCAAAGAAGACATCCATTGATGATTCTTCTAATAAATGACCTTCCTCGGAGGATCCAGAACTGTTGGCGCACGAGAGCCAGTGTGTGCTCCCTTCCTACGTGGAAGTGTCTTTCGTGGATGTCTTGAACCAACAGTCTAGACAGAGGATGTACCGGGGAAATTAATGCTTGATGTTTTGCTTCAAATGGTACCGGAGCTTTAGTCAGCCGACCTCCAACTCTGATAATTCCATCAACGAGGACTGGTTGCGGTGGAAGTAGTGGACTGTTAGACGAGAGAGCTCGGTACGCCTGCAGGTCCTCGTAGTCGTCCTTAAACGATTCAATTTGAGCTTGTTTACACAAGGCTAGCGGGGCTCCTTCGAGATCGGCGGCGCTCAAACACATGGTTTGACGTTCTGGAGACGGATTCATCTTCTTTATTTTATACCTCAGAATGAATTTTTATCTCATCCACCAAGCGTACTGCCGACTTAGCTTTCTCCAAGAGGAGTACTTCCTCCATTTCACCATGTTTATAGATGAAGTAGTGGACACCGCAAGGACTGAGCCCTTAAATTCTAGCTCAGTTTCATCCACAATTGGTAATTCCTTAGTACTCGGCCACTCTGCTTCAGGCAACATTAGAAATTCTGGACCACTGATCTATCGACATTTCAGAGTCAACTCCTGAATATCCTTCCCTCTCGTGCAGTCATCGGCCACATTCATTTTGCTAGGAATGTGATGCCACTCTTTAACGTCCGATTTCGAGACGATTTCAGCAACTCTGTGAGACACGTAGGTGCTAAATCTCCGCTTGGTGTTGCTAAGGTAGTGAAACACTATCCTGGAGTCACTCCAGAAATGCGTCTCATCGATTTCAATGTCGATTTCTTCCACTATCTTAGACCTCAGCCTAGTGGCTACAACAGCAGCCTGTAACTCCAGACGCGGAATGGTCAAGGCTTTGATTGGCGCAAGCCTGGTCTTACTTCAAACAAAGCTCACATTGACATTTCCACGAGTCACCGCACGGAAATACGTAACTGCTCCGTAAGCGATTTCTGACGCGTCGCAGAACACGTGTAGTTGTACTTTTAGGCATCGGTCGCGGTGGAAGCCAGACCACCAGGGAATCATGATCGTTTGAGAGGATTTCAAACCTTCTTTCCAACCTTGCCA